AAAAAAATGAACATAAACCGCAAAGGTGCTTTGTCAATAATGACGCTGAACAAGCTGTATGCGATAACAAAGGACTCAAATTCTTTGAGCAGTGAGCCGAAATTTTTTATGGCTCTTCTGTGCAAACTCAAGAATTCTAATCAGGCTAGTGCCAAAGAGACAAAGCGTCCGCAAAAATCAATTTCGACAAATTCGTCTAGACCGTACTCTTCTCTAGCTGCAAACCACCCTCCTTCAGCATGGTATGTCATGCTGCTCAGTCCGCATGCAACAAAAAATCTGCGCAAGAGTTCACGAGAAAGTTCCTTGCCAAAGATGAACCATGCGCGATGCCCTCGAGCAACTGACAATGTCTTTCCATATCCATATAAGAAGTTTGGACACCAAGCAAATAGACAAACGCTTAACCTTTTCAAGATTTGAAACGTGTAGGACTTTACTAGAACAAAAAGGTAAACAACTGAAGATAAAGTCTGGCAAACAAATAGCTCAAACTCATTATACAAGAACTCACCCATCACGGAACACAGCCAATCCCACGGCTTGCTTAACTATGGCTTTGCATTCTTCCTTCGTCAAGTTCGGCTTCCATGCGTTATCGAGAAAACCCTGCAAATAACCTAAATCATGGTCCCGTTTTAACTTATGCTTGAACAGAATTTATCTCCCTCTAAACTATTTATCATCCTACCTCATCCTACCTTATGCATATATACAATTTTCTGCCCTTTAAACTAGTTATTCCCAAATCCGCGATCTTACCTGCACAAAAGTAGATCCCGAACCAGATGCCGTTGATTTCTGTCGTGTCACAAAGCCACCCAAGGGGATAGCGTATAGCTGAATAGATGTAACATGAAAAGAACCCTCAGAAATGCATACTAAACCCTACCTGACCCCCTTCCACATCATCATAGCCCGCAATCAAAACCGAAGCAGAGAGCTGATCGCGATAGTTGTATAGGAACTTGCGAAAAATTTGTGCTCCACGATAGATAGTTACAGGTTCGTTCTCCATCATACTAAAAAATAAGCGCTCGGAAGTCGCAAGAATTAATATGGAAAATCAAAACAAAATGAAATTAAGGAGCAATACCACAAGAAGGGTGACAAAGAACTGACCTATACACTTCGATGTGATATTTGACTATATCAGCGATTGCCTGAGTATCGGCTGCAGATCCTGATCGACATACAGCCATGTAGTCTGTGATAGGAGTGATCTTATTCGTAGCTCGAGATGAGATGAAGGAGCTGAAACCGATTGAACTATTGATATGAAATCCAATTTAAGCAAAAAA